GCCATCCATCTCGACATGAAAATGAAGGTAATTAAGCAGTACAAAACAGGAAAGAAAGTGAATGTGATCGTACGTGATATGAAGTTATCACATTCGACTGTGTCGACGATTTTGAAAGATAAAGAATTCGTGAAGCTGTGAAAGGTTCTGCACCCATGCGATCAACAGTTATAACAAAGCAACGAAGCGGGCCCATCCACGAAATGGAGAAATTGCTATATATTTGGATGGAAGGTCAAATTAAAAAACGGACACCATTAAGTCTTTTTACTGTGCAGATGAAGGCGAGAAGTCTATTTCAGACTCTGAAGGAGCATGCTGGAGAAGATTACAGTCAAGAATTTGTAGCAAGCACTGGCTGGTTCCAGAGATTCAAGAAAAGATTCCAAATGCATAGTGTTCGAGTGACTGGAGAAGCAGCAAGCGCGGATGAGGAAGGAGCATGTAAGTTTGTTGATAGTCTGGATGAATTAATTACAGATGAGGGATATCTAGCAGAACAGATTTTCAATGTTGATGAAACTGGATTATTTTGGAAACGGATGCCGGCACGCACTTATATTCACAAAGAGGTCAAAAGCATACCGGGATTTAAAGCATTTAAGGATAGGCTAACTCTGCTGCTTGGCGGGAACATCGCAGGGTTTAAGCTGAAGCCGTTCTTAATTTATCACTCAGACAACCCGTGTGCGTTCAAGAATGTTAACAAGCACACACTGCCTGTCTACTTTCGTTCTCAACATAAAGCATGGATGACACAAGGATTGTTTGAAGACTGGTTTATGAACTGTTTTATTCCTCAAGTTCGAGAATATTGTTTGGAGAAAGATATTCCTTTCAAGATTTTATTGCTACTCGATAATGCGCCTGGACGCCCACCACATCTAGGCGATCTCCATCCAGATGTAAAATTTGTTTTTCTTCCGCCAAACACGACTCCACTCATCCAGCCTACGGACCAAGGTTCGATTGCTACATTAAAGGCCAACTACCTCCGAACCACCTTCGCTCAAGCAATATCCGCTATAGATGCTGACTCGGAACTAACATTGCGAGATTTTTGGAAAAACTACAACATTTTGATGTGTATCAAGAATATCGCTACCGCCTGGGAGGCTGTGACGACAAAGTGCATGAATGGCATCTGGAAAAATTGTGTTAAGTGCTATGTTAATGATTTTGACGGATTTGACAGTGAACAGGAACTTGAAACAATTCGGGAAAAAATAGTAAAACTCGCTAAAGACCTTTCTTTGGAGTGTGAAATGGAAGATGTTGAAGAGTTGCTAGACAAAGAATCCGGAGAACTTACAAATGAAGAGCTAATCGAACTGGAAGAAGAAAGAGTGGCGGAAGAAGAAAGAAGAGAAGCAGAGAAAGAAGAGGAGGAGCCAGAAAGAAAGTTCACCACTAAGGGATTATCAGACGGTTTATCTTTACTGAATAAACTTCTTATACATTTTGAAGCAATGGACACAAACATCGAACGATTTGCAAGGATTGAACGGATGGCGCACGATGTGTTTCATCCGTATTGTGAAATTTATGAAGAAAAAAAGAAACATACAATTCAGACAAAGCTCACCATGTTTATGAAAAAACCAACTCCAGTAACCACAACTGCTGCCTCAGATGACGACGTCAACGATCCGCAGCCAAGCACCAGCGGCCAATAAAATGTTTCGTACATGTTTATATATTTTGATATGTTTTGCAGTTGGGAAAATGTTTCCTATGGTATTTTTTACACCTGTATTTTGTATTTTTGTATGCACCTGTATTTTGTAATTTTGTATGTTTTGCAAATACTAAACCAGTTGTACTGGTAATGCAGTGTTTTACTTAAACCTGACGAATGTAAAAATAAGAAACAAAATGGTGTAGAGATGATACAAATGGCATAAAATGAACAAAGAAAATTATGATATATAACAATAATGAAAGAAAATTATGATAAAATGTGACTTAAAGATTTTTATAACATCGTTTCACAGTACTGTACATATAGCCTACTCAACTTACGACCAAATCGTGTTATGACCAGTCTGTCGGAACCAATCGTGGTCGTAAGTCAAGCAACAGCTGTACTATGTTGTTTATTTATTTCTTCATTAGATGGTCCTAATTCATTGATTAGAAACATTTTTGTCTGTTTGGTTTACTGCTGTCTACCAGTACCTACAACAGTGTCTGGTACACAGGTTGGTGTTCTGTTAAGTGTGTGCTGAGTGAACAAAGAGATTGGTGGGGAGGCTATTCCAAGAAACAGAACTGTGTGTGAACAAACTGGTGTGACACAGTGAGCACGAACTTTTTTTTAAAATTTTTTTGAGATGGAGTCTCACTCTGTCACCAGGCTGGAATGCAGTGACACAATCTTGGATCACTGCAACCTCTGTCTCCCAGGTTCAAGCCAATTCCCCTGCCTCAGCCTCCAAAGTAGCTGTGACTACAGGCATGTGCCACCACACCCAGCTAATTTTTTGTATTTTAGTAGAGACAGTGTTTCACCATGTTGCCCAGGATGGTCTCAATCTCCCGACCTCATGATCCACCTGCCTCAGCCTCCCAAAGTGCTGGGATTACAGGCGTGAGCCACTGTACCTGGCCATGACTATGGACTTTATCTTGTCAGTGATAGCAGTGGACTTGATCTGGGGAGTGAAACGATCAAATGAAATAGTGTTGAGGAGAAGATGAGGCTATGGATGTAATGTTTAGTTCAGGCCAGAAAGAAGGAATCTTGAACTAAGGGAGTGGCAGCAAGAGGAGGAATGGAAATGAGGGGCTTCTGTCAAGAGACATTTCAGAAATAGACTTTAGTGACTAAATGTGTGAGGTAAAGGAAAGGGAAGGTCATAAAATGATTATCAGATTTCTAGATAAAGTAACTAGAAGAAAGTTTGTGTTATTAACCAAAATTGGGATTAGAAGAAAAGCAACCAATTTGCAAACATGACAAGTTAAATTAATTTAACAAAAGTTAATTAAATTAACTTTTGGGCTTGAGTTTGAGGTTCTAGGGATGACCCAGAAGCAGCTGAAGTATAGCGCCTCAATGCTTCCAAATCTGATCGTCCCTCCTTCAAAAACCCTGTTGCCGGATGGGTGCAGTGGCTCATGCCTCCAATCCCAGCACTTTGGAAGGCCGAGGCCAGCAGATCATGAGCTCAAGAGATTGAGAGGATCGTGGCCAACATGGTGAAACCCCGTCTCTACTAAAAATACAAAAATTAGCTGGGCGTAGTGGTGTGTGCCTGTAGTCCCAGCTACTCTGGAGGCTGGGGCAGGAGAATCACTTGAACCTGCTTGAACCCAGGAGGTGGAGGTTACAGTGAGCTGAGCTCTCCACTGCACTCCAGCCTAGTGACAGAGTGAGATTCCGTCTCAAAACAAACAAACAAACAAAACCTTGTTGCCTACTTGAGAACACCCAAACCCCTGTGCCAAGTCAAAGCCTTTCAAGCCATCTACTGCCTTCTCCCCATGCCATCTTTTACTGTTCCAACCAAATCTCCACTCTGGTCCCACTTTAGCGAAGTTCTCTTAACTTTTCCTTGTTTTACTGTCTTTGCTCACATGGTCCCCTCCGTCTATTTAAAAAAAAATTCTTTTTTTGAGATGGAGTCTCCCTCTGTTGCCCAGGCTGGAGTGCAGTGGTGTGATCTTGGCTCACTGGAACCTCTGCCTCCCGGGTTCAAGCAATTTTCCTGCCTTAGTCTCCCGAGTAGCTGGGATTACAGGTGCGCACCACCACATCCGGCTCATTTTTGTATTCTTGGTAGAGATGGGGGTTTCACCATGTTGGCCAGGCTGGTCTTGAACTCCTGACCTCAAGTGATCTGCCCACCTAGGCCTTCCAAAGTGCTAGGATTACAGGCCTGAGGCACCCCACCCGGCCATTTTTTTTTTTTTTTTTTTTTTTTTTTTGGAGACAGGGTCTCACTCTGTTGCCCAGGTTGCAGTGTAATGGAATGACCATGGTTCACTGCAACCTCGACCTCCCGGGCTCAAGAGATCCCCCACTACGCGCGTTAAATTTTTTAAAAACAGACATATTTGTAGAGATGGGGATCTCACTATGTTGCCCAGGCTGGTTTCTAACTCCTGGGTGCAAGCGATCCTCCTGTATCAGCCTCCCTAAATTTTGAGATTACAGGCGCAAGCCACCGCGCCCGGCCCCTATAACATCTTTCCCCAAGGAACTCGTACCCACTCCCCAATCCTCATCTCAGAGACCCTAGTCTGCTCAATTCTACCCACTTCAAGCATCTGTTACAGCAGATTCGTCCTCCTGGTCCCTTGCCCCTCACTTGTCTAAGACCCTGAAGGGCAAGGCCGGAGACTACAACTCCCCAAAGCCTACAGAGCAGTCAGGCGTCCGCCCGTCGCGGGTTTCTGCAGCAGCTGACTTAAGAGAGGCGTGACCGAAATAAGTAGGACTGAGGGAAACAGGGGTCGCTTAGTACCTCTTCGCCGTAATCCTCTGGACCGAATTCCTTGCAAAGTTTGGGGACAGCAGCGACCTCCAGCGAGCAGCTGGGCCGCAGAGGGCAGTCTACGGGAAAGAAAGGCGGAGCCTCGTCAGCAGGTTTAGGATAGACGGGTCAGAGTCCTCCCCGCTCCAGGCTTGACTCTCCGCCCCCTCTGCCCTCTGCGTAAAATCCTCCTCGAAACGTTCAGACCACAGGTGGACCCAAGATGGGCTGCCTCTGCCTTCTTAGACCCCCTCTGGCTTGTCACACCGCTCACCCAGCTTGATCCGCCCCACAGTCTTCGGAATCGGCGCCATCGCCCGTCAGCAGTGACCCGGAAGTGAAAGTTAGTCTAGTATTTGATACCAGCCAAAGGGCGGGGTAGAACAGGATGTGCGGCCATCTTTGTTAGGGGCAGAAGCCTCCGATTACGGAGCCTGAGAGAATCCATGAAGGTCCCCGGGACTCCCGAACTGGAGAAAACCGTTGTTGAGATGGGGCGAAGTCCTAGCTACAGCGGGCGTTGGTCAGTGCCGGGAAGTGGGAATCGTTAGGTTCGTTCCGGACTTGCAGCCCATGGCCCAGACGTCTCGCTCTGGTAGCCTGCCTCCACTCGCTACCGTGCCCCCGCTGAGGGCGCAACCCGTGGACACTGGGGAGGAGCAGTGGGAGAGAATGGGAACGGGCTCTCTCCGCAGGGACGTTCGCGGCTGGCTGGGGCTGCCGGTAGCCGGGAGCATCCCCTACCCGGGGATACGTCCGGGCGGAGCTTCTGGAGGGACGCCGTGGTGGCCGAAGCCGGCAGGTGTGAGCGAGGCCCACGATGCTGCGGCCTGGAGGCAGGGGCCCGCAGGTGGCAGCCCGATCCCTCCTGCGCTGCAGCATCTCCGTGCGGTGTTGCTGCGGCTGCACCGCGAGCGAGAGCAGCTTCTCCTGGCCCGAGACTGCGCCTGCCACCTGCAGGCGGCTGTGCGCCTCCTGAAGACCTTAAGTCCTGGCTCGCCCTCCTGCAGCCGCAGCCCCTTGCCCCAGCTGTGCCGCGACCTGCAGCTGCACCTTTCCCAAGGGGCAGTCCTGCGAATCGGCCTTGGGGAGCCGCTGCTGCTAGCGCGCCCCATCGGACTAGCCGCCCAGTGCCTGGAAGCTGTCATCAATACGCAGCTTCGCGCTCTCGGCCGGGAACCCGCCAGCCCGGGCCTGTCGTCCCAACTCGCCGAGCTGCTCCTGGCACTTCCCGCCTACCACACGCTACAGGGAAAAGCCTTGAGCCACGTCCCAGGGGCTGCACGTCCTTTCCCCACGTCCCGTGTGCTCCGCCTCTTGACGGGAGAGCGGGGTTGCCAGGTGGCAAGTCGGCTGGACGAGGCGCTCAGGGGATCAGGATTGAGGGACCAGCTCCGCAGGCTGTTTCATGAGGAGCAGGATCTGCTACCAGGGCTGCTGGGCCTGACAGGGGGCATGGCGGCTTCATCCAGTTGTGGACTGGGGCCTGGAGGGGCCAGAGCCTTGTGGAGCCAATATTGGACCCTGCTGTGGGCAGCCTGTGCTCAGAGTCTGGACCTAAATCTGGGACCCTGGAGGGACCCCAGGGCAGCAGCGCAACAGCTGAGTCAGGCACTGGGTCAGGGTGAGTGATGGGTTTGGGTGCGCATTTGGGAAGGCTGGGGTCTCTTCCTTCCCCCTGGCCAACTCTCTCACCTGCCATCCTGAAGGCAAAAGCAGGCCCTTTAGAATGAACGCGCCTGGGTTCAGACTATAGTTTCTGAGCTTTCAAGGCAAACTCTTGCTTTCCACCCCAGTCCTGAGTCTTGGAGGAAGCATGCCCTCTTGCCTCATCAATGAGTAGGCAGGGGTTGTGGAAAGTGAGACCTTGTTTTCAGGCTCTACAGTCATTTCTCCCACTAGCATCCCTACCTCAGGAGTGTGAGAAGGAGCTGGCTTCTCTGTGTCACAGTCTACTTCATCAGTCGCTTATCTGGAGCTGGGACCAAGGTGAGAAGGAAGGGGCACTGGGAATGATGTAAGTCCCAGGTTACCCCTTCCCCACCAGACTAGACTTTCTCATCCTCAGGTTTCTGCCAGGCCTTGGGATCAGCTCTTGGGGATCAGAGTGGTCTTCCCACATCCTCTCGCACTGCTGAACTTTTGCAGCAGCTCTTTCCTCCTCTCTTGGATGCCCTTCGAAAGCCCAGGTTACGATTGATTTTCTGCCAGCCTGCAGGTGAGACAAGAGGCTGCGGATGGGGAGACAGAGCAGTTGAGGATATCTCCTTTTTTCTTTCACTCTGTTCTGAAGTCTGCCTCTTCCCAAAGGTACTCTGTGACCCCTAAGATGCTTACTCTGTTGCTCATCTCCCCCAGATCCTGTGCCTATTGCCCTGGGGCTGTGTACCCTGCAGACCACCTTGCTCTGGTTTCTGGGCAGAGCTCAGCAGTACTTGGCAGCATGGGACCCAGCTTCCTTCCTGCTCCTAATCCAAAAAGACTTACCTGTGAGTGACTGGGGAGTGGGGAGGGGAGCAGCCTGGGCTAGGCTGAACCCTCACTCCCTGTTTCCACCCAAAGCCTCTGTTGCATGAGGCAGAAGCTTTGTCTAGCCTGGCCTCAGAGGAAAGCTTAGCTCTGGAAATGGAGCAGGAGCTGGGCCTGGAGATCCAGAAGCTGACTGCACAGATCCAGGTGAGAACAGGGGCCTCAACAGTGGCAGTTTAAGACCCTAATTTATGTGCCAACTATTGGGGGAGGGAAGAATAGAACATCTCAGTGACTTGGAGTCTCTGCTAAATTTATCTTTTTTTGCTCTGTTCATTTTTTGTTCTCTTTAACTTTTTTAGACAAGGTCTCACTTTGTCACCCAGGCTGGAGTGCAGTGACACAATCGCAGCTCATCGCAGCCTCTACCTGGCTAACTTTTATATGTTTTGGTAGAGACAGGGTTTCACCATGTTGCTCAATCTGGTCTTGGACTCCTGAGCTCAAGTGATCCACCCACCTTGGTTTCCCAAAGTGCTGGGATTACAGGCATACGCCACTATGCCTGGCCCCTTTAACTTTTTACTATGGAAATTTTCAAACATGTATAAATGTAGAGAGAGGTGTATAATGGATTCCCATATGTCTATCACCAAGCATTTAACAATTATCAACGCATGGTCCATTTCATCTATGTATCCCCTACCCTCTCCCCAGTAATGTCAGACTTTTGTGATGGCAACAGCAGATCATTCCCTTGATTCATTATTTCATTAGAGGTTGTAAAGGGGTGACATTTCAATTCTCATTATTCATACTTCATTTGTGAGTTGGATTACTCCTATACAGAAAAACTTGCCTTCATTAGAGATTTGGTTACTCTTAGATATATTTTAAAGAGAAAATTCAGGATAAATGATTGCATCTTTACTTACCAGTTATTGACATATTTCTCCTCTCTTTAAAAGTTTTATTTGTATTTTTTATTAATGCTTGGGAGGCCAAGGCAAGAGGATTGCTTGAGGCTAGGAGTTCAAGACCACACAGGGCTACACAGCAAGACTACCGTGGGCAACATAGAGAAACCCCCATCTCTACAAAAATTAAAAAATTTAGCTGAGCATGGTGGTGGGCACCTGTAGTCTCAGCTACTCAGGAGGCTAAGGCAAGAGGATCATTTGAGCCCAGGAGGTTGAGGCTGCAGTAAGCTGTGATCACTGCACTCCAGCCAGCCTAGGCAACAGAATGAGAGACCTTGTCTCAAAAAATACAAAATAATGCTTGTCTACAGTTTAAAAAGTAAGTTAGAATATTATTTTATTTTATTTTTATTTTTTATTTTATTATTATTTTTTTTTTGAGATGGAGTTTCGCTCTTGTTACCCAGGCTGGAGTGCAATGGCGTGATCTTGGCTTACCACAACCTCCGCCTCCTGGGTTCAGGCAATTCTCCTGCCTCAGCCTACCGAGTAGCTGGGATTACAGGCATGCACCACCATGCCTAGCTAATTTTTTGTATTTTTAGTAGAGATGGGGTTTCACCATGTTGACCAGGATGGTCTCGAACTCTTGACCTCGTGATCCACCCACCTCAGCCTCCCAAAGTGCTGGGATTACAGGCGTGAGCCACCGCGCCCGGCAGAATATTATTTTATAAAGCTAATGAAAAAAATAGCACTTTTTGCCCTCACTCACCTCTGATTTCTATTTCACAGTGGTAACCTTCATCCATGTTTGCCTGTTTCTCCTAACATTGTCTTGTATATTTATGAATAAAACTATTTACTTTTTCTTCCCCATTTTGCATATTATCTATTCCTATGTGGAAGATGTCTGTTTTTTTGTTTTCCTGCTCAATTTTCTCCTCTTTGCCCTGAATAGGAATGTGGCTGTAGAGTTCAGTCTTTAACTCTCTGCTTTTCTCTCTGTGTTCCTGGTTACCCACAGTGTCTTGGTGCTGTAAACTCCCGAGTTCAGTCTTTCTGGCTCCCAGAGTTGTTTTTTTTTTTTTTTTTTTTTCTAGAACAGGGTTTCACTCTGTCATCCAGGCTGGAGTGCAGTGGTGTGATCTTGGTTCACAGCAACGTCTACCTCCTAGGCTCAAGCAGTCCTCCCACCTCAGCCTCCTGAGTAGCTGGGATCACAGGTGCAAGCCACAATGCCCAGCTACTTAAAAAAATTTTTTGGTAGAGATATGGCTTTACCATATTGCCCAGGCTGCTCTTTTTTTTTTTTTTAATTGCGTTTTAGGTTTTGGGGTACATGTGAAGAACATGCAAGATTGTTGCATAGGTACACACATGGCAGTGTGATGTGCTGCCTTCCTCCCCATCACCTATATCTGGCATTTCTCCCCATGCTAACTCTCCCCAACTCCCCACCCCACGCTGTCCCTCCCCTATTTCCCCCCTACAGACCCCAGTGTGAGATGCTCCCCTCCCTGTGTCCATGTGTTCTCATTGTTCAACACCCACCTATGAGTGAGAACATGTGGTGTTTGATTTTCTGCTCTTGTGTCAGTTTGCTGAGAATGATGGTTTCCAGTTTCATCCATGTCCCTACAAAGGACACGAACTCATCGTTTTTGATGGCTGAATAGTATTCCATGGTGTATATGTGCCACATTTTCCCTGTCCAGTCTATCATTGATGGGCATTTGGGTTGGTTCCAGGTCTTTGCTATTGTAAACAGTGCTGCAGTGAACATTCGTGTGCATATGTCCTTATAGTAGAACGATTTATAATCCTTTGGATATATACCCAGTAATGGGATTGCTAGGTCAAATGGAATTTCTATGTCTAGGTCCTTTTTTTTAAGCTTTTTAATTTTTTTAAAGATGGGGTTTCACCATGATGGCCAGGCTGGTCTTGAACTCCTGACCTCAGGTGATCCACCCACCTCAGCCTCCCAAAGTGCTAGGATTACAGGCGTGAGCCACAGCACCCGGCCCTCTATGTCTAGGTCCTTGAGGAATCGTCATACTGTCTTCCACAATGGTTGAACTAATTTACACTCCCACCAACAGAGTAAAAGTGTTCCTATTTCTCCACATCCTCTCCAGCATCTGTTGTCTCCAGATTTTTTAATGATCACCATTCTAACTGGCGTGAGGTGATATCTCAATGCAGTTTTGATTTGCATTTCTCTAATAACCAGTGACGATGAGCATTTTTTCATATGCATGTTGGCCTCATGTATGTCTTCTTTTGTAAAGCATCTGTTCGTGTCCTTTGCCCACTTTTGAATGGGCTTGTTTGTTTTTTTCTTGTAAATCTGTTTTAGTTCTTTGTAGATTCTGGATATCAGCCCTTTGTCAGATGGGTAGATTGCAAAAATGTTTTCCCATTCTGTTGGTTGCCGATTCACTCTAATGACTGTTTCTTTTGCCGTGCAGAAGCTGTGGAGTTTGATTAGGTCCCATTTGTCTATTTTGGCTTTTGTCGCCAATGCTTTTGGTGTTTTGGTCATGAAGTCCTTGCCTACGCCTATGTCCTGAATGGTTTTGCCTAGGTTTTCTTCTAGGGTTTTTATGGTGTTAGGTCTTGTGTTTAAGTCTTTCATCCATCTGGAGCTAATTTTAGTGTAAGGTGTCAGGAAGGGGTCCAGTTTCTGCTTTCTGCACATGGCTAGCCAGTTTTCCCAACACCATTTATTAAACAGGGAATCCTTTCCCCGTTGCTTGTTTTTGTCAGGTTTGTCAAAGATCGGATGGTTGTAGATGTGTGGTGTTGCCTCTGAGGCCTCTGTTCTGTTCCATTGGTCTATATCTCTGTTTTGATACCAGTACCATGCTGTTTTGATTACTGTAGCTTTGTAGTATAGTTTGAAGTCTGGTAATGTGATGCCTCCTGCTTTTGTTTTTTTGCTTAGAATTGACTTGGCTATGCGGGCTCTCTTTTGGTTCCATATGAAATTTAAGGTGGTTTTTTCCAGTTCTGTGAAAAAGGTCATTGGTAGCTTGATGGGGATAGCATTGAATCTGTAAATTACTTTGGGCAGTATGGCCATTTTTATGATATTGATTCTTCCTAACCATGAACATGGAATGTTTCTCCATCTGCTTGTGTCCACTGTTATTTCATTGAGCAGTGGTTTGTACAGGTGTTGATCGACTTACGACCTATGCAACTTACGACCATTCGACTTTACGACCACAATCGCTAGCCATGACTGCTCCGCGTCTGGCAGCGCAAACGTTGCCCAGCTGGGCGTACGACAGTGCGGACCAGCTTCTGGCAGCACTACCGTCTCCGCGTGCACCATTTCAACTGTACATATAGCCTACTCAACTTATGACCAAATCGTGTTACGACCAGTCCGCAGTCCCGACCGTGGTCGTAAGTTGAACACTTGCTGTAGTTCTCCTTGAAGAGGTCCTTTACATCCTTTGTTAGTTGTATTCCCAGGTATTTTATTCTCTTTGTGCAGTTGTGAATGGCAGTTCATTCTTAATGTGGCTCTCTTTAAGTCTGTTATTGGTGTATAGGAATGCTTGTGATTTTTGCACATTGATTTGGTATCCTGAGACTTTGCTGAAGTTGCTTATCAGTTTCAGGAGATTTTGAGCTGAGACGATGGGGTCTTCTAGATACACAATCATGTCGTCTGCAAATAGAGACAATTTGACTTCCTCCTTTCCTATTTGAATACACTTTATTTCTTTTTCTTGCCTGATTGCTCTGGGTAGAACTTCCAATACTATATTGAATAGGAGTAGTGAGAGAAGGCATCCTTGTCTAGTTCCGGATTTCAAAGGGAATGCTTCCAGTTTTTGCCCATTCAGTATGATATTGGCTGTTGGTTTGTCGTAAATAGCTTTTATTATTTTGAGATACATTCCATCAATACCTAGTTTATTGAGGGTTTTTAGCATAAAGGGCTGTTGAATTTTGTCAAAGGCCTTCTCTGCATCAGTTGAGATAACATGTGGTTTTTGTCTTTGGTTCTGTTTATGTGGTGAATTACGTTTATAGACTTGTGTATGTTGAACCAGCCTTGCATCCCAGGATGAAGCCTACTTGATCATGGTGGATAAGCTTTTTGATGTGCTGTTGCAATTGGTTTGCCAGTATTTTATTGAAGATTTTTGCATCTATGTTCATCATGGATATTGGCCTGAAGTTTTATTTTCTTGTTGCGTCTCTGCCGGGTTTTGATATCAGGTTGATGTTGGTCTCATAAAATGATTTGGGAAGGATTCCCTCTTT